TCATGAAGTTGGCCACGAGATGCTGTCATGGTCAACTTCCTAGAATTCACTTGTTTGTAGAATATATATTTTGATTGTCGGTAAAGATAACAACTTTGTATTTTTTCTGCACTTAATCTGTGTAATTAATCCACACAACTGAGTTTTCTATATAACGTGGTGAAGTCGACAAAATACATAATTACACCTACCTGTTAATCTGTGCTTGCAATATTTTAGTAATTTTATTTTAAGCTGTCAATAGTAGGCAGCAGAAAGCTGCAAATTTCACTTTCCTTATTGCTCATTACATTTGTAGTGTGTGTATTCGTTTTCATTATAGAAAGCTTGTAGAATTTTCTATTTGTTGCATATTTCTATTTCAAAAAGATCCATTTTTTTAACTTTTGTGAAAGCAGTTACTGCTTACAAGTTGCACAATTATTTTGTAGTGTGTCTCCATTAATTAGAAAATTGTGTCTTTCAAGGTTAGTGGTTCAGTTGGAAAATGCTTGAAAAATAAATTTTAAGCACTTCATCAAGCACAGCAAACAAATGGTATAAATTTTTTCTATTTGAAAAATGATCAAATGTAACAGTATCAATTGATTTTTTTTTCTTCTAATATAGATACCTCACTTAAAGGAAAGCACAGCTGTACTGTATTTAAACTAATTCTAGGAAACAACAAAAAGTTGGTCTGAAATATTTTTTTGCCATTATGTTGCTTTCTGTGATTGACAAAATCTGGTTTTGCGTTTTCATGCTCACTCTTGAAAGTATTTGTTGATGTTGACATGCCAGTATAATCATGTCAAATTACAGAAAGTAGCTGCAAAACAACAGAGCCTGTTTTAGCCCAAGGCAACAGGTTGAATGACTTCTGAAACCACAGCAACAGCCTGTGAAAAACAATCAGTGCATTCAACAATTTTTAATACTTTGCCAATGATGTACAGTCTTATTGTTAAGAGTTGCTGTGGTTGCATTACATGACACACAAAACTGTCCTCTACCTCACGTGAGATTTAACAGATATTTTATATGGTTTTAGTAAACAAAATGCATCTATCTGGTCACTTAGTTTACAAATTTTGAATTCTATTTATTGAAACATGACATACTGTGCTCTTAGCTTATACCTCAATTGTATTTTGTGCTGTTATCCATTTTCATTACTTGTAAATACCTGTATAGATTGTGGATTCAAAAACAAATAAAGAACTGCAATGTCAGAACTCTCGTCTTTGTAGTTTTTAGGCCATTTTTTAGCAAAATCCACAAGATCAATAGCCCTCCCTCACTCTGAGTCCATTTTCTAAAGCTCTTACAGTTAGAAGGTATTGACACTGAGATTTCTATATATCTTGACATAAATTTGCTAGTTATACTTGTAAATATAACTACTTGTGTGTTTGGCACGTTGTCTGGTGCGTGGCTTTTGTTGCTGCTTCACTACTTAAGCAATATTTGAATTGTTCACACCTCATTATTATGTAATATTTGTATATAATAGCTTAATATTGAGCAAGATCAAAGCCATACATCACCATATAAAATGTCAAGATTTACAAAAAGTTAAAATCAGAAATTATAATTATATTGTATTTACTGATGGCAAATGTGCCCTACAGTGACTCTGGGCAGTTCTTAGTTCTTGTAAATCACATGATTACAATGCTTAACATTTTTGTCTGCCATCAGACAGCTTAAATAGCAGAAAATTCAGAGTAGGAGGAGTCAAGGAGTAAAGAGGGAGCTAGTCCTATAAGCTGCATATGAATGACTCTTCCTTTTAGGTTGAGCATTCCCCACTTACAACAATAGATTATGTTATGTTGTTCACTTAACTAGATTGTAGTAAAAAAAATAGAACTTGTACTCCAAATAATATTTTGGAGTTTTCATAGGTTGTCTTATTCATGCTAAGGGTTTGGGGTCTTTAGACAGATAAACGTGGTCACATACACATATATTTTTCCTTTCCCTCAAGTCAGAGCAAAAATGCTTTGTCCTTTTTAAAATACCACTCTTGCCTACAGAAAAACCTGATTATGCTTCAGATTTTCACAAACCCTTAATGATACCATGTACTTCCCTGTATTTTACTGCTGAGTGAGCAGTATGGACCAGGATGAAGATGGAATTGGTAGTATTTGAATGAGCTCAGCTTTTAGTATGGAAGAAAACTAGCTGCACCACTTAAAAGAGTTAACCCTGTTTATTTCTGCATCCCAATGCTGTATTTTTGTCTTTCTGTATTTCCAAGCAAGGAAGACAATACTGGGCTGAAATCCCTGCAAAGAAAAATTTCAAGGTGAGTCATTTTCATCAGAAGAAGTTGCAGGGTATTGATAGCCTGTGTAGATATGACTAATTGCCACCCGTGTCGTTTCTCACAGCAAACAATGCTGATCAAGTTAAAACTGCTTGAGTAAAAAGGTGGATTTTTAAGGTGTTCATACTGTTGCTGAAGTGAAGGCACATGTAGCACTTGGTTTTAAAATGGCAACTTTTAAGAACACTACCCTGTGTTGGCTTATTTGGCACACAGCTGGGAAGTCATTCTTTGTTTCTTATTTTATTGATCTTGTGAATCACTTATAGCATACTAACTTAGGTTCACTTAAATATCGGTGGAATTATTTATCACGCTGACAAAATAGTAAATGTTTCCTGTCTCTAATGAAATAATTCCAGCTGTGCCCTATAGCACAGGTTGAGAGCTGTTGGATGCTAGTACCAGTAACTAATTACACTAGTTACCAAAGTGTAAAATTTACTTCTTGTAAGTTGAGCTGCCACACACACTTTGACAAATACGTTTGTGAAGGAAGACGTGGCAGCATGAGAAGCTTTTGTGGTTGAGGAAACTGTAACTGAATAGTTACAGGAGACTGAATTACAGGAGGATGTGTCCACAGCCTGCAAATTCATATCCCACATATCCCACAGCATTTTTAAAACCCTCTTTTTATGCTTTAGGATGTGCTTGAACATTCACCATGCAAAATGCTTCTAATCTCAGCTTTGGGATGAAATGAGATGCCAAGATGTTGCAAAAGTTTCTGGTATTTTGAAGGAAAACAGTACTTTGAAGATACTTTATATATGAAGATACTTAGGTATATGTTAGTGATTCAGAGAACATGCCTGGTTTTTAAATTCCAAAGAGCTGTCTGGTGACAGTACGGTAGGATGACAGAGGTTGAGATCCATCACCCCAAAGTGGTTAAATATCTTTATGCCTGATATTAATCAACTGGCAGTATTAAGCTTTGAGCATTTATACTTGATACAAACAGATGTTATTTACAAAATACTATAATGTTAGATGAAGGAAATGCTAGGCTGAAAAAGTGCAGAGTTGGCAAAGGTGAGAGGCAGGAATGTGTTTGTCAACTCATTTTCCAAATTCAGGAGATGACACAATTGCATGCTCCAGGGAGTGGAACATCACTAGATTCACTCAAGAGATGACACATTTATCTCCTGAAAAAATGAATAAGCGGGAATATTGTTTGGGGAAAGTCTAAATTCATCTAGAATTGAACCCTAGACAACATGAAAATGGTGGTTGGATGTAAGTAACAGCTTGATCCACCTGAAGTAGGTACAGTAGAAGAATACCCTACGTAGAAAGGTGGAATCACATCAGAAAAGTTAGTGGCATCACAGCTTCACAAAAATACCATAAATCAGGTACAGAAGGAAACCCCAAGGAGTAACCAACACTATGAACCAGATGTGAAAACAATTATTAAATTTCTAGTTACTATAAAAGCTCCTCTTCAAAAACAATTTTCAACTATTTGTGTAGTAACTCCAGTGTTCAGATGAAGCTTTGACAAAACTGATGGAACTGTGGCCTTATGTTGCTGAATTTTGAATTTAAGGAACATGTGACAAATGAAGCTTAGGGTGGTCTTGTTCATGTTTTCCACTTTATTTGCTAAAGAATGGGAACAAATACCGTTGGATGGAAAGCAGGATATGTTTCAGTCCAGGCGCCATAATCCTGGAGTGTAGCTTTCTGTATTTCTTTTCCACAAACGTCTATGGGAATGAATCAAAGTCATTGTTCTGCATTTTCTTGCACGGTTTTCCCTTCCCCATGCAATGTGGTCAGCTCTCCAGCAGTGGTCTCTCCAGCCATGTTTTATCTGCCTAGATCCAAACCTTCGCTGTGCAAAATTAGAAGCACTGGAGAACGCATGATGATGAAATTTCATTAGGGGCGTGTTGGCACTTTATAACATATAGATATGTTTGTGAAAACACAACGTTGGGAAAATATCCTTCCTGCCCGTTTCTTCTGGTGCAGAACAGGCTGAGAAGTTTCTCTGCTTGTGACATTTTGAAGAGGGCTGTTCCTTGTTCTATCAAGTACACTAAAATTTACATCTGTGGTGAGTCTGAGTAAGAAGCTGCTTATGTTAATTTTAGCACTCAAAAGTGGGAATAAGGTGCTCTTAAACACATATTTAAGACTCCGTGAATGTTAGTTAATACTTCTGCAAACCCAGACACAAGCAGAGAAAGCAGTGGTAGGTCTCTTATCATTTTTTAGTTACTGAAAACTTCAGGAAAGACCAAAGACCAAGTTTGTCCTTTAACTGCAGCTGCGCTGATGGCTTCGATGAGATGATCAGTTCCACCTCTTGAGTAACTGTCCACCACATTTCTTGCCCTGTCTTTCCAAGAAGAGCAAGCAGTGTGATCATTTGTCTTCAGCTCAAAGCCACTGCCTTAATTTCTCTGCCTTGCTGCTAGATTTTGAATAGTCAGGCTGTTTGTATTTGAATAAAGCACTCTGGTGTGTTTTTCAAGCACGGGTGGATGTAATTCTGCATCTCCTCCTCTCAACACCCGCCTTCCTCTCCGGCTCTCTGGATGCACTGGCTGAAGTTGGGGCTTCCCACTCGCTCCTCCCATGCGTTATGGGGCTGGAGGCAGCTCTAACCCCTCCCAGGGAGGGAGCTGGGCAGAGGCAGACGAGTGCTTGCAGCAGTGCCTGAGCAGGGACCTCGTCCTACCAAACCCCTGTCCCTCCCGTTCACAGTAGATCCCAGCAGCAGGCAGCTCGCCGGCCAGCTTGGCTGAACCCCTGCAGGTGCTCTCCTGTCCAGCTCGCCCCACCAAGGGATCAACATGGTGGCCACCTGCCTGCACCTGGCTGGATTTGTCTGCAGTTTTATAGGGTGGATTGGGGTGGTTGTGGCAACAGCCACCAATGACTGGGTGGTGACTTGTGGCTACACCATTACCACCTGCAGGAAAATGGACGAGCTGGGATCCAAGGGGCTGTGGGCAGACTGCGTCATGGCAACAGGTCTCTACCACTGCAAGCCCCTCGTGGACATCCTCATACTGCCAGGTAAGTGTGCCCCATCCTCCCCTTTCCCACCCAGATGTGAGGAGCAACACCTCGCTCTGAGCAGGGCAGGTTCTGCTACTGGAGGGATTGGTGAAGCCCCTTCAACTTCATCAGTGCAGGAGATGGTCATTAAATATGCTAAAGAATGTGAATGATAATATAATTCCCATTAAGTTATAACTGGTTTTAATCATAACCAGGTATCACATGCTATCTGTAACTATTAAAGTCCAGTTAATGTTTCATCATTTCTCTTAGTAAACACTCACTGTTCCTTTCACATCTTGTGTCTAGATTGGATTACAAACCACTGATAGTCTGTTGAGGTATAATGGAGTGTTTCGGGTTTTGCTCTGAGATGATGATGAGCTGTTACAAATGTTAAGGTTCTATTCCCTAAGATGATTTTGAGTGTAATGAATCTTTCAGCATCTAGATTATTAATGCTGCTGTGGCTTTTAATCTTTTGTAAGATCGTCATTAGTCTGGGTGGTCTCGTGCTTCTCATGTGTTCTAAGGCAAGACAGAACTTATACACAGCAAACAGATGTAACTATATTAAATTTGTCTTTCTATTTTCTAATTACATAGTCATTTTCATCTAGTTTACTGCAAAGCAAAAATTAAGCAAGGTGTTTCATCATTATTAATATACCTTTTGAGCTAATTAAACCAGCTGAAGTCTTGTGTGGTCTTGTCCCTGTAAGTTTAATGATCTTCCCTGTTTCAGTCACTGTTAACTCTGTAGCACTTCTTCGTTCTGCTATGTTTTAGATTGCACCTCCTCTAGCATGCCAGAGATGCCTCTCCTAAAGTGGATGGTACAAATAACCATTCCTTGGAGGTTTCTTTCATGTTTCCTTACTTATTTGTTTAAACTGTCATGAAAATAATTTCACAAGAGGTTAGAACGATTATTCCTGGATTTCTGTCTGTCACAGAGCCTAGTCTAGATCACAGAGTGTTTAGCAATATTGAGTCTCTCAGATTAGCTCCTATTCTTCCTTTCTCTGTGTGTGTCTACGTCTATTTTAGTAGGTTTCCCTTCCTTATTGCTACTCTTGTTTGATGTGATCCAGCACTGAAGACAGAAAGAAGGCTTGCCCTGAAAAAATGTTCTTGAACGAAATTTAATAAATAGGTCTCTCAGCAACAGAAAGCAATTCTTTTCTCCAGCAGAAACAAATCACAAAACAAGATGCTTCTGCTTGTAATCCATTTGATACCCACAGCTTTCCATGAGAGGGAGATTTATCCTGGTGTGCCCCATAGCTGAAATGTATTTAGTGTCTTTCACTGCCTGGGTCAAGTCTTTAAGATGAATGTGTTGTATTCCCATACAATCAGGATTGATCGCACAGGAACCACACTGTGCGCTGCCATCTCCTTTGTTTAGCGTCTCATTTTTTTGCCCTGAATGCCTCAGGTAACAAAACAAACAAACAAAGTAAATATTTAATATACACAGAGTCTGCATTTCCAGGAACAGTAAAATCCTCATTCCTGGTGTCTCACCTGCATGTCAGCAGGACTTGCTTGAGACCTCTGTTTGCTGGTTTTGGTTGAGACACCAAGAAACTCCATGTCTGCATGTGACAGCTTCATTATGGTAATAGAGGGGGAAAAGAGCCAGCACACTCAGCTCTGCTGAGACTGTCCCTGAGAGCTGCTGGAGGCTCACCTGGCACAGGAATAAATCTGACACTGGTTGTTTTAATTTTGTGTGCAAGTAATGACCTGGGTTTATTTCTTTATATGTATATATTCTAGATAATTTTTTTAAAATATAAAGATATATAGAATTGAAGTGTATCAGGATAATATAAGTCTCTTTTTTTGATACGTTATTATGCATTGACCCTCACAGACTGATCCCTGCCCAGCACGCTCGCAGTACCCATCCCCTGCTGCTCCTCGCTGCCTTGCTTCAGGCTGCTGCTGCTGCACGGGGGCAGGCAGGAGAAGGGGGCCACTGATGAAATGCCAGGGGGTCCCCTGATGTCCGTAGGGACCTGGAAGAGTAATGTGGCCTTTGTTTATGGCAACTTGATCAGCTGTGCATCTCAGCACTCCTTCTCTCTACGGAAGCGCTGTGCCAGTGGTGAACTCCAGCTGTGGATCTCCTCTGAAGCCCCGCTACCAGATTGGACTCTGGAGGTGCAGGTCTGGGACATGGCTGGGATTGCTGAGCATCCCTTCCTCTCCCAGGTCAGTGGTCCCCACCTCCTCAGGGCTGCTGGTGACAGGATCTCATGGACCAGCGTGTTTCAGTAGTGAGCCTTCAACTGTTCAGCCCTCCTCTAGGTGACTGTGGACTTGCTCTGCTCACAGCAAGCTTCTCTTTAAGATGTAAAATTCTTGTTATTTAACCAAAGCTTCCTCTGTGAAAATACATAGAAAAACTCTGTCCTGGCTGTTTTTCCTGCTTTCCCTTCCCACATATTCCAGCTCCATGACTTCTCAGTGTCTTGCTGGGAAGTGCTCGTGTTTTCCAGGCAGTGATAGGTGTTCATTGGAAAATTTTGAACTTGCACACCCTGTGTTCACGCACTACCCTCTGTAGTACTCTCACTGTCTTATACCTGTTGAAGATTTAGTGCTGACACAGAGGATTGAACCTGTCTCCCTTACTCCATGCAAGTCTTGGGAGCTAATCAAACAGGAGCCTTTGTCCAAAGATCTCCTTCTCTTGTGCTGAATAATCAAAATCCTCTTTCCTTACCTTGCCAACAGGGTATGTCCAAGCATGTCGAGCACTGATGATCGCTGCCTCCGTCCTGGGTCTTCCCGCTATCTTCTTGCTGATAACAGTCTTGCCCTGCATCCGGATGGGCCACGAGCCTGGAGCTGCCAAGTACCGGCGGTCCCAGCTGGGAGGGATCCTCATCATCCTGCTGGGTAAGACGCCGGCCGCATGTGGAGAGCCAGAGGTCTTCCTCTGCTCCAGAATGGGACAGTGCAAGCTGGTTGAGCACGTTCACCTGAAAGAGTGGTTGTCCAGGCTGACCTGACCCTGAAGCTCTCCCGCAGTCTGGGACAAACAAAAGGCATGAACAGGAGTGGGAGAACAAAGACAGGAGGCAGGGAGTGAAGTGGAGAGAAAGCAAGGGGCTGCAAAACCCTAGCCTGGAGAAAAGGAGGCTCAGGAGAGACCTTCTCGCTCTCTACAACTACCAGAAAGGAGGTTGTAGAGAGCTGGTAGTCGGTCGCTCCTCCCAAGTAACAAGTGCTAGGACAAGAGGAAATGGCCTCAAGTTGCACCAGGGGAAGTTTGGGTTGCCTATTAGGAAAAATTTCTTCCCTGTAAGGGTTGTCAAGGCCTGGAACAGGCTGTCCACAGAAGTGGTGGATTCCCCATCCCTGGAGGGGTTTCAGACCCATGCGGATGTGGTGCTGAGGGACATGATTTAGTGGTGCCCTGACAGCACTGGGTTAATGGTTGGCCTTGATTATCTTAAAGGTCTCTTCCAACTAAAACAATTCCATGATTCTATGATTCTACTGTGCATTGTCTCGTGGAATCCTCACGCGTGGCAAGCTCTCCCGCAGTCTGGGACAAACAAAAGGCATGAACAGGAGTGGGAGAACAAAGACAGGAGGCAGGGAGTGAAGTGGAGAGAAAGCAAGGGGCTGCAAAACCCTAGCCTGGAGAAAAGGAGGCTCAGGAGAGACCTTCTCGCTCTCTACAACTACCAGAAAGGAGGTTGTAGAGAGCTGGGAGTCGGTCTCTCCTCCCAAGTAACAAGTGCTAGGACAAGAGGAAATGGCCTCAAGTTGCACCAGGGGAAGTTTGGGTTGCCTATTAGGAAAAATTTCTTCCCTGTAAGGGTTGTCAAGGCCTGGAACAGGCTGTCCACAGAAGTGGTGGATTCCCCATCCCTGGAGGGGTTTCAGACCCATGCGGATGTGGTGCTGAGGGACATGATTTAGTGGTGCCCTGACAGCACTGGGTTAATGGTTGGCCTTGATTATCTTAAAGGTCTCTTCCAACTAAAACAATTCCATGATTCTATGATTCTACTGTGCATTGTCTCGTGGAATCCTCAGGCGTGGCCACTGCCTGTGTCTGCAGAAGGGCAGCTGCCTGTGGGCACTAGTTTTGACGGTTCGCTGTGGAAGTGATGCTACTTTTGAAAAGGGTCTAAACTCCCAAGCTGCTTACAGGAAACGGATAGCCCCTGAATTTGCCCTGGGCATCGCAGGTGCAGCTGGGACAGAGGAACCTGAGGCATTTAGGAAGGGAAACCCACAGCTGAGAGGGTGATGGTCCTGCAGGGACAGCAGAGGAAGGAGCAAGGAGGTGGCATGGACCTAGGAAGAGGGCTGGCATGTCCCCTGTCCCTCTCAAGCCCCTCTGGTCAGCCTTACCCTTGGCCTCCAAGTTGCCCTGGGAATTTCTTCCCGTCCCCAGTGCCTGAAGAAGAGATTGTTTTGAGCAGCACAGACTGTGGAGCTCATTGTCCCCAATGCAACACCTGCATGTTCTTGAAGCCTCGTCATCTCAGCAACAGGCTGCGGTGCCTTGTTTTTACCCGTCTGTGCAGCAGAGGAGGAGGGGTGAGGGAAAGTGGCCTCTTTGTGTGGCTCTGATAGTCGCTGGGCGCCCGCGCTGACATCATGCCTGTCTTCTTTCTTCTGCTGCTGCTTTTTTTTTTCCCACTGGGCACTGGATATAGCTGCATGCTTGGAGGGGTTGTCCTCTGGACGCTCCTTCCTTGCAACCAGTCCCTCCTCCAAAGCCTTGGTGAGAAGCAGATAATACAAGTCAGCACATTGACCAAGGGGCCTTTCCAGTGCCTGTGGGGTTTCAGGGCACATTGCCACAGCTGGAAGCCCTAAAATCAGCTTTATGGGGCCTGCTTAGGATATGCTGATTGCAAACAGCCACGCTAGAGAGTTTTTGGGATGTGGTTTTCAGCCCTATCCTAAAACCTTGAGTCCTGTATTTGGGCTTGGCAAAGTGAAAGAAAGAGAGTTTTTTGTTTTTGTTTTTTTTTCCTGCCTGCGAATAAAATTTTAGTGTTGGAGGAGACTGCTCTGCCAGATTTCCCCTGCCTGGGGTTAGGAGGGCCCAGCAGAGCTGCACTTTGCAGTAAACAAATACAAGTTTTTGGTTCCAGTCAAGGAGGACTATGGTGTAGATCAATCCCATTTACATGGCTGCAGACATGGAGAATTGCCCCTAAATCCTAAAGGGCAACAGGATTCCAGGGCAGGCACACACAAGGACATGACTAGGTAATGCTGCATTAGAATAAGTGAAATCCCATCTCTTGCAGTGTTTGCACCAGGTCTAGTGTGCCCCTCTCCCATCCTGGTCTTGCTGTGGCGTGACACTGGGGAGGGGAACAGATGTAAGAGGCTGGAGGACAGGAGCTGCAGAGCTCCCAAAGCCTCAGACCATGGTTTTCCCACTAAGTAGATCCTGTGAGGAAAGGAAATGTGTATTTACATAGGCGTGGGCAGACAAATGCTCTTTGGGTCAGATTTGGACTTCTTGCTGATTTTTACCCCTCTGAGTTTTGAAGTAAGTGCAGGTGAAGTGGTTGCTCATGTCGGTGATGACCTGAATGATCTGGGCTCTGAGCAGCAGCCTGGTCACAATGTTTTCTTCACAATTACAGTAATGTTTTAGTCACAATTAAAATAGCGTTATTTTTGTTGGGTCACAAATGAAGGATAAATAAGCTCCTTTTGCTCTTAAGTTGTTTTGGGCCTTTTTATTTTTAAAAAAACAAAACAAAACAAAACAAAACAAAACAAAACAAAAACAAAAAAAACCCCCACAACTCACATTTATTTTGACAAACCTCAAATTTTTCCATGCTGATCAGAAGGACTGTCCCTTTGGAAGGAGAATAAAGTACAGAGCTTGGGACCTTGACATTATTTAAGCTGATTAATGATCTGTTATTTGCAAAATGAGGTGTTACCACTCCAGAGCATTTCATAAGCATTTCATAAGCCTTGAAAGTCATAATACTGGCTTAAAATTCATTATATTCTGGAAGTAATATGCCCTGGACTGTTCTTATTTACCCTCTACCCACTGATCTCTTTGAGGTTTCCCCCAATCATACAGGCTTTTCCTCTAAGGGGAGACCAACTCCCAGAGCTCTGGTTAAAATAATGCAACCCCCAAAACACTCACTAGCAGAGCAGAAATAGAGAGTGGAGATATGCTCAAGGCAGTTGGCCCAACAGCAAACTTCACTTGTTGCCTAGGGAAGATATGGCAATTTGTCAGCAAAATTTATTAAAAAGGAAAACAAGGGTTGAAACACAGTGTGGAGGGAAAAAAAAAAAAAAAGAAAAAGGAAAACAATGGGCTCAGATATTCCACTGATTTATTGATTTTTCTGTCCACTGATAATAGCAGGCTGCAAAGTGTAACCTGTGCACACACCCTCCTATCCTGCCTGCTAATGTATTTATGTCTTTCCTTGATCCTATCTGTCCAAGAGAATTGATTTATTGCTGAAAATAACCGTCAGCAGAGGTTTGCTCTGACCCAGTATGAAAACATTTCATACGTTAGTGTTGATGGAAAAACCTTGGCCCATCCTGTGTTGTTGGTACTAATTCGGGGGACCCCATGCTGGGAACCACGTGGGCATTTTCCTAATGGAGTTGAGGGACCCGAGACACTGGAAAACACAAATGGAAAATATGTTAGTTATTAGGAATGACTACTGCAAAATGACCATATTGGCTATTGTATAATAAATTAAGGATATTAATACGTTTTTCTGGACACTGCATGAGATTTACTTGTAAAACCATAGGTATCAAGATAAAAAGATTGCCTTGAACATAGAAAAAAATAAAACATCGTGGATATCCATTACTTCAACCAAAGGCTTTGAAAGAGAAATCTGTGTGACTTTGAGTCAGCCACTCAGAATAGTTAAATTTAGCTGTGAAAGAAAAGTATTCTTTCTTCTGCAGAAAGCTTTTAACTTACTGCTCAGGAATTTGGCAGGGACTCCCTGTCCCCTGAGTTAGAATAATTCTGCGCTATCTCCCCCACCTTCCCAAGCACCTTCTGTTGGTCTTGTCTGTGTGTACTTCCATCTGATTAAATTATGCCTGCAATGTAGAATAATGCAGCATTCAATTATGCCTGCAGTGGGTTGCAGCTCAACAGATTGAGGTTCTGCAAGTCCATAGTCAAAAGGGACAGAAATGCTGGGAGCCTGGGATATATTCACATGAAATTACAGCGACGGATGGAGCAGGGACAACCACACCGAGTATTGCCCAGATGACTTTTGCAGGACTGCCAACTCAAGCTGCAACAAGCAGGCAAACCTTCCACTGCGTGGTACCCCAAAATGTGCCTGTTTTCCAGCTAACATAGTTGGTCTAGTAGAATATATTCCTTCTGTTTGCAGACTTTTGTTTACTTTTTTGCCAGACTACACTGACTGCAGCAGCTCTGCTATCTGAAGACATATTTAGGGAGAGGCAAAGAGCCTCTCAGCATCAGCACAAAAGTGAATGGGTAATAATTTCTATTCAGAGAGTTCCTCCTTGTAGGCAGCTATTTTAGTGCTTGAAACTTGCCCTAAAATGCCTTTTCCAACCCCTTTGGGTTTCTTGGCAAATCAACTTTTTTCCAGCCTTTCTCTGTGATACAGCCAGACCAAAACTTGAGTTCACCAAGAAATATTACAATTGCAGACTGTCCTTTTCACATCTTTGTGGAGGATTTACAACCCAATCTAATCTCTGCAAAGCGATGAAATCCTGTCCTGTCTCAGGGCCTTCCTCTTGCTGAGCAATGGGGTCGCTGGTGACTGATGGCAGCTGGTAGCCTCCGAAGACAGAGAGGTCAAACCAAACCATGCAAAGTCCTTGGCTTGTGCTTCACAGCTTTCTAGTATTGTCAGCATTAAAATAAGGTGGTTTTACATGTAGTTGAACTGCATACACAAGGGATGCCATTGTGTCCACGTCCGTGAGAGCTCTTCTCACCCCAGTGCAAGTGTTTTCTTCAGTTGTGGGGGAGGGTCTGAGTAGATAAGGCTCTTATAGTCTATGGACATAAATATATATATATATATATATTTACTGCTGACAGAAAAATAAAAGATGATTGTGTCTTTTCGGACAACAAAGAAGCTTTTTTTCAGGAGCCCATTAGAATGCTTTGTGGATTCTCAACTGATACATTTTTGTTTCAAAGCATTAGAGCCTCATGAGCTGTTTGCAGGACTGATCCTCGCGCAGGAGAAGCACCGTTCTCCTCTCCCTGCCTTCTCCAAAAATTCCTTTCAAAGCCACAGGGTCCTTGCTTTGAGGACGCCCAAAATTATTACTGGCTTTATTAGCATCCTTCAAATGTTCTTCTCTTTTCCATAAGAAAATATTTTCTCTCACAATAACTGTAGCTATTGGGGATAGGTTTTCTGCTGTACTGGCCAGGAGCTATGGTTTGTTCTCTGCTCTAACTAAACAATTTTATTTTTAATCTCACCCCTTTTTTTCTTCCTCTTGCAACTGTAACTTTTTGACATTGCCTCCAGATACCTTTAAACGTGGTCGGTGGAAATCTGTAAGGCTGCCACAGTGCTGTTATTGTTTTGCTCTGATTCTCTGATAGCCACAAGGATGGAGTCCTGCACAGCTTGTCCTGGAGGCAAGTAAATATTGACAGATTAATTCTTCTCAGATGTACAGGCCATAAAGGGGTATTGTTTTAGGACCTGCTCCTGTGAAGTCATTAACACCATCAACTCCTGTTGCCCTCGGTGCATATGAGGACTTTGCAGGATGGAGGTGGGACCCTTAGTGAGGGTAGCGAGCATGAACTTGTGTACCACAGAGAGAACGCAGGGCACGTGTTTTCTCCCTGCTTGGGGCAAACCATGTCCGCATGCCTCTCACTGAAACATTGAGTTCCTTGGCTGGTTGCTTGCAAAGTGCTGACTCTGGACTCCTTTTACTGTCCTGAGGGTATCTCCTTCACATGCCACCTGCCTAGTATCACTCACTGCACCACCTGTGGCAGCCTGTCTGCTTTTCGTGGAGAAAAAAGGGGCAAAATTTCAAGAAAAATTGGAAGTCTGCAGTGATTTTTGACCTGCTGTAGATGCTAGGTAGAATACTGTTTTCCCTTCAAGGTCGGGTTGGATAGGGCTCTGAGCAAGCTGATCTAGTTGCAGATGTCCCTAGTCACTGCAGGGGATTGGACAAGATGACCATTAAAGGTCCCTTCTAACCCCAAACATTCTACAATTCTGCAGACCCTTTAGGTCCCATTTCTATTCAGTTCAGTAGGTTCCTGGAACAGCCCGGCTGGGTTTGTCCATGTCACTTGATACAGAGAAATTTTCCATACACCGGAGGAATCTGCTTTGCAGAGTTGTGAGACTTTTTCTTCTCCATAAAAACAAAACCCAAACAACGATGCTGTGCTGCTGCTTATTTCGGCCCTGCCCATTTTCTGTGTGTATTTTGTAAAACCTACTCTGGCTTGCTAAGTGCTGGGATAATTTGTTCGTGTTTGTGTGACCATTCAAGCAGAGCAGTTGCAATGATGCTGAATGACAGGGGCAGAGGATGTAGCATGTGACTTCACACAGAAATAGTGTTTTAAACCTGTTGACTGTGAGCCACTGATTTTACTGTCTCACCAATGCATGTGGCTTTCATGGTCTTGATTCATATCTAATCTGTTCCTTATTCTGCAGCTCTCCAGAGCCTCAGTTGCAGGGATGAATTTTATTCTTCTGCCTTACAGATATTTCTAGGCAAGAGATCTGTTTCCTTTGTAACTCATACATCAGACTGTGTCAAGCAGCAGTTGGTTTTGTTTCTTGTTTGTTGGTGCCTGAGAGAGATGGCTGCTCTCTCTGGATCTCTGTCCTCGCAAGGCTCCCATGCTGCCTCCTGCTTGGAGATCTCTTGGACTGAGCCCTGATACAGATGCTCCTGGGTCCCACTGTCGGACTGCGAGGGAGGAGGGATGTCCTCCCCTCTGTCCCCTGTCCTGCAGAGCATTCCCCCTCCTCGGCGTGCTTTGTGTCTCCGTGGTGGGCTCACGTGCTGGAGTCATCTTTCCTTCCCCCCTCTCCACAGCCATGTGCGGCGTCGTGGCCACCATCTGGTTTCCCGTGTGCGCCCACCGCGAGACCACCATCATGAGCTTCGGCTACTCCCTGTACACAGGCTGGATCGGCTCTGCCCTCTGCCTCTTCGGCGGCTGCGTCATCGTCTGCTGCTCGGGGGACGCCCAGACCTTCGGTGAAAACCGCTTCTACTACGCCTCGGGATCCAGCTCCCCCACCCACGCGAAGAGCGCTCACGTGTAAGCGCCCCGGGGACACCCCGCAGCTCCCGTCGGATGCGTTGGCTGGTGGGTTTGTGTGCCCTGGGTTTGCCTCTACTGACGCACGCTGCTGTCAGGCTCCCAGGGGGAGATTTAGAAAAGCGGCACAAATGTCGGGTAGTTTTGAAGCGTTATTCTCCCCATCTCTTCCCCTCTTCTCTAGAAAGAAAGCTCCAGCCAGCCCTACCTCTTGGTCCTCCCCATTTTGTCCTGGCCTCCTGCCCTATCTTCTTGCAGGCAGGAGGACTCAGATGGTTTGGGGTCGTCATGTGGGTTTTAGGGGTTTTATTTCATTTTCTAGCTCCCCAGGTTCTAGGAGAGTTTAAAGCAATAAACCAGAAAGGAGAGAGACACTTTCCCATTGTTAGAAGGACTCTGGCAGCTTCTCCCACCACGTCACTCTTTGCTTTCCCCTGTTCAAGGTCACTGCTTTGGCACGGTTTGGGTGAGGGGCTGGGGAGGAAGGCTGCACTCTCCAACCGGGCAAATGTTTCTCTTCTGGAACAAAAGCAGGGGAATTTTTTTCTGCCTTTCTCTGTAAATACTTTTGTAAGAGTTTGATCATTTTAGTAACAGTATTTCCCTCCCCCCCTAGTCATCAGTATGAAGGAAGCAGAACCCAAAGGTCTTAATTACATGGTAGAGAATAGTGCCTTTTTATATAGTTTTAAATGACTTTGGGGGCTCTAATCCCTGCATTCTGGTTTCATTTATTTTTTTTTTTCTTTGTACAGATCAGTTACTAAAAACGTATTTTTACATTTTTGTAAACTTCTTGCTTTCTTCCTCTAAATTTGTGTTCTGTCTTGCATCTTTGAAGTAGCACATTTTAACACAGAATATAATGTACCTGTTACAATTCTGGTGAGTACTGATGATGCCTTTGTATTTTCAGTGAAATACTGTACAATAAATAACAGAATACCTGCAACCACTGGCTTCTTTTTTTCCTTCCTTCCTTCCTTCCTTCCTTCCTTCCTTCCTTCCTTCCTTCCTGTGTGTTTCCGTAGCTAGCTTTTCCATGACAGGGGTTTCCTAATGATTTTGAAGTTTTGGTTTTTTTTTTGTTTGTTTTTAATAGCACGATGAGAGATTCTGCTCTGCTGTGGAATTAAGTGGACTTTTTGTTTTGTTGGGGAATGTTTAAAATATGAGTAATCTCCCTGCATGGTACTGACCATTGTCTTACCCATTCATTCTTTCAATGTTCCCAGTAGCAGCTTGCACCAGAAGTACCAACTCGGGGCACTCTTCACATCAGGGAGATTTAGAAACTCACTGAGGTTGAGGAGATACACCCCCGCACTGCTTGGGCATGCTGAAGCTGAGAAGTCATGTTGCTGGAAGTGCTCTTCAGCTAGAATAAGAGTCTGATCTGGGGTCATTGCTATGATTAAATCCATGTAAGATCAAGATCTAGCTTTGTCCTTACCAGAGGCTGTAGCAATTTAATTACATTGATACAAAATCCCATCTGTTCCTGGAGATGTTAACTCAGTTCAAATAAATTGAGCAAGCCAGGCTTCAGGAGCAGGGGAAGAGGAATAGCTGCTGCTCAGGCACGGACAAAAGGGAGAGCCCAGGTGTTGTGTGTAGGACTGAGCAAGCAGAGGATAGTCGAGCCTTCGCGGATCAGGGACTGCCCATTCATCTTGGTCTACTTCAGTTGGAGAATCCAAACTGGGCACCACGGTCATGGGGCAGCTGTGCCCAGAGCATTGCAAAGGGGTCAAAAGGAGGCTGGCTGTGCCCACATGGACGAGCTGCCTTAGTGTCTGCCTTGAGCAGTCTTGAAGGCATCTCTCTGGGGTGAACTTCGTCTACCCTGGGTCCCCAAGGCGGGCAGCAGGACACTTGTGCCCATGACATCACAGGCAGGGCACAGGCAGCTGTTGTACACGCTGGAGAGACACTCTAAGTGCTGCCATTGATGCGCGGGCGCGGCGGGTGAAGGGGTGGCACGGAGACGTGCCAGCTTGTGCAGGCTGCCCGGGGATTGTGGATTGTGCCGCTTAACTCTGGGACCGACGGCGGCGTGGGAGACCTCGGAGCAGAAAGCTGCTGGGAAGCTGCCCCACAAACAACCCTGGAGCAAATTGGGGAGGGGGGAAACACCGGAAGGGCTCTGTGAGATGCTCCAGGAGGTGGTTTTGTCAAGGTGGTGGTGTTGCCGAGGCAGTGGTGTTGCTAGAGGGGCTCAGGCAGCAGTGCTGACCCAGCGAGGGACAAGCACTGCCAGGCAGAGCTTATGGGTGGTTGGCTGCCTGCACCATTGCACTGCAGCTTGACATCTTCAGGCATGTGAGGCTGGGGTTCTGCTTGCTCTCCCCATGGTTATAGGTTACCGGCAGCCAGTCCCGAACTCAGCCCTTAAAAGGCCCTGGGCAAACTGCTTGAAGGAAGGAAGAAGCTTTATTTCAGGGAAGAGAAGGAAAATTCAAACAACACAAAACAACTCCAGAGCAGTTGTGAGGAAAACAGATCTGCAGCCATGGGGTGGGAGGAGATGGGGCCAGGAATGGGACAGGATATTAGTCCTGGCACCGCAGAGGGGAGTGTTTGGAGGAAGTGTAAAGAACACTAAACTTCTCTAGTTTTTAAAGGATCAAAGCTGAAATACTTGCTTTGCACCCTCCCAAAACATCCTGCTCCCTTGTGGGGTTCTCCCAGCCTGGGTTGGCCCTTGAAGGCTTTTGGTGCTTATTTGCTGACCCAAAGCCTCAAAATAGAATCAAATATAATTCTCCTGAATGGAAAAACTGCTCCACGCTGTGCCTCATGTTAGCCATGGAGTGGTGGGTGTGAGCTGCAGCGGCCACCCCAGCATGGAGGTCATGGTCCCCCACGCCCCAGCTGAGCCCTCCCCAGCTCCCCCAGGAGCAGGTACAGCTCTTTGTCACGGGGAGTGTGCCTGGCAACCTCCCTGGCCCCCAGATACCGGGAATAACAGGAGGGAGCCACTATGGGGACACGGGTGGCCCTGAGCACCCCAAAGGGGGGAGGCAGCTGTGACTCTCAGTGCCTGTGCAGGAGGGTGGCTGTGTCTGGACACCCCATTATCCTGGGAAAGGTGGGTGCTGGCAGGATCATGAGCAGACGGGAAGGTATCAGCACTCCTCAGGGCTTCGCACTGCAATAGTCAGCCTGTGGCCATCAGATTCAGGTTTTCTTCTTTTTTTTTTATTGTGTAAACGGATAACCATTTTTTTTCACAACAGTGCAAGTGAATATCAAAGTCAGCCCACTGAAACAGATCTACAAAGGAAATTTTGCAGCACTTAAGGCAAGATTTGTTCATCTCTAGCTTCAATTTAGAGTTGAAAAAAATATCAGACCTTCAGGTACTGATTGGCTTAACAAAATTTATATGGGATTTTTTTTTTTTTTTTTTTCAGTCTTTCATTTAAAAGATTTACATTACTATGGAAACTGATACTAAGATGCATTTGTCTCTGGCTTTCTTTAAAAATCCATGAATTCCTGTTTGATTTTTAAATGTAAAGGCACACAATAAAGCTTTATGCATTTATTAAAATATACAGATTTTGGTAAATTCAGGGTTTTTTTCTTAGTATCTTGATAATATATATATATCATATGTATAGTTATCAACAACACAATCATTTGAAAATAAAAATCACTCCATAACATATCTGCATATTTTTTTTTCTTTCTCATGACACACTACAAGACCCCATTGTACAGTGCACCAATGGGCTTTTGGAAACCACAAAAAAAAAAAAAAAAATTAATAGAACAAACTATTTTAACAAATACACCAATTTCATACCAGAACTGCAGAGAATTGTTACACCAGAAAGTACCACCTGCAAAATAGAGCAAGATATACATCAGAAAGACCAAACAAAACGAAGTGAAGGTCATTTACAAGCTGGATTTACAATATCCCATGTTGTTCGGAGTGTGATTTCTCTGCCCTGTGGAGGATGCCAGAATGATGGGCTTGTTACCATATGGAGTGAAGTTGTGGAGGGATTGAGACCTTGCAGAGTCCATCTGGGAGATTTGAGGTATTTATGCTCCATCCATATAATGCATTTGGGCCCTGTGGGGCCAAGTGCCTCTCACTGGTGGTGGGAGCAGGTGGGTACCACTCTGCCCGTGTCCTCCTGATGGGTCAGGGGGGTGAGGACATCCCTGAGGGCACCCAGGGGGAAAGGCTGGATTTTGGGGTAACAGCAAAACAAGCACTTGTACCTCTTCTCAGTTCCAAAACCACCCCTGGGGTCAGCAGTGCCCAGAGGGGATGGACACACCTGAATGTTTTGGTCTCTGCAGCTTTTGGTTGTGCCCGTTGAAGACCCCAACGCTTGCTGCAGGGGAAAGCTCCCAAATGGAGGCTGGACTCATGTGTCCTCCAGGCACTGACACCTGGAGCAAGGTGTGGGGACCCCACTGCAAACCAGCTTCCCAGAGCCACAGGCAAACCCAGGGGAGACCCAGCCTGCGACTCGGCTACCTCCTGCCGTGCCTCCGTTCCGTGGGATGTGGTGGGCTTGGGAGGAGGGCCCAGCTCCTGCCCCCCGGCATGGTGAGGGCTGACAGCAGCCCCTCTGCATCAGATGGTGCTGTGCCATCAGATGCTGCTTCCTGGTGCTTTTGGGGACCCAGCGCAGACATCCTGCCCCAGTTCTTCCCCAAGCATGGGAAGGAGGATGTGTGAACGTGAACAAGAGCAGCCGAGGGGCTTCACTCAGTGCATGGGTCCAACAAAGAGGTTCTTAGAGACGTCAAAGAGCGAGGGGATCAAGCCCTCATCAAATTATACGGAGTAACTAGAGCGGACATGACAGCAGACACTGCTACTGGTAACTGCTCTGTAGCAAGAGATTAAGGCTGCAAGAGGAATAACAGGCTTTGACTCGACAGGGTACCTGGGCATGAGTTTATGGTCCAGCAGATGCCTAAATACTGTGCGGAAGCAGGACGAAGACGACTACCTCAGGTAGGGTATAGTACAAGAGCTGGTAGGAAAATAGCATCAATCTTTCTCCCTGAAAATGTAAAGCCAGACCTGTGAGGTGCCATCTCTCTTGGGTGCTTCTAAGGCATCGAGGATGGGAGCAACCAAGCATGAGTGAGAGGTGACCTTTGCTCAG